GCGAAAAGGGCGAGCACCTTTGGGAAAGGGCTACCCTCTGGCAACTGCTCTTATCTCCAACCTCTCACACAAATGAACCAAAAAGACAAAGTCTTCTCTCCTGATCTCTTTCAAAGCCACAAATCAATTGTACCACGCTTGGAAGTACATGATTGTACTCGTATTCACTATCGGATGGAGTGCAAGGGCTAGGCTACTGTCACTGATGTGCACGCATAATAAATCGTTAGCGCTCGTTTTGAACACTAACCATTATCGATTGCACTCTTAACGATCGATATGCGAGTTATCGGTACAATTGTTTCAGCCCTAAATTTGAAATATTCCGTGATGTCATTGATTTAGAAAGGATTGCTCCCATTCCGAATTTGGCAGTTGTTCTGCCTAATTTGAATGATACGCAGTCGATCTATACGCATCTTCTTTTTTGTGTGCTACAACATTGAGAACGTCCTCTCCGCATTGAAATCTGGAGCACAAACATGCTGCAGACTCTAACCCAGGCAAACCGTTCTTTTTAAAGCACTGTTCATGCTCCCTAATTCCCAGTAGCGCAGTGCCCATGGAACGCAATTTCCTTTGCTGCTTCTTGTTTTTCTCTGCAGAAATGTGAGCTTTAATGCACTCACAAGCATTCCTTCCTCACTGTTCAAGAACCAGATCAATCTCCAGACACTGTAAGCCCATTAGGAAATATATCATTTCTTGGGCGAGTTAGAGGGTAGGGGGGGGGGGATCTATGTGAGGGCCTTGGTCTTGTGCGGGTGCATGCACATGTTGTTAGGTTACCTCTCTCGTATATCAACTCATTGTACATCCTTTTACTGCTAGCCTGCACCCCATACATAGCTTCCCGTAATCTCTTACTCACCTTCAGTTTCGGGATCTTTATCTAGCTCTCTCTCTCTCTCTCTATCTATCTCTATCTATCTATCTATCTATCTAACAGTTGTCTAAAGTCCCTAGGCTGCTTACAGTGCTCAATGTCCTATGGACAGAGCCAGTAATACAAATATTACACAGCAATGAATCAAACAAGTCTCTCTTTCCACAGCGGAAAGAGAGACTTGTTTGATTCATTGCTGTGTAATATGTGTATCTATCTATCTATCTATCTATCTCTAGTTCTATATCTATCTATCTATCTATCTCTCTCTCTCTCTCTCTCTCTCTCTCTCTCTCTCTCTCTCTCTCTCTCTGTCTTTCTTACTCTGTCTCTCTGTCTATCCGTCTGCCTCTCTGTCTGTCTCTCTTTCACTCTCCTCGTTTCCGGAATACACGTTCCCCCAATCTAACTCGTCAATTGGCTATGTGATTGCGATTCTATGAAACCTTGAGATGTCAACTTTGTGACAAATCCGTGGAAATCGGTAATGAATATCATCCACTTCGGTCATCTATTAGTGCAGCATTGACCCTTTACCATCCGACCAAAATTTCCCTGCAGTCCCAAATGAAGTAATTCTCACCTTATTCTGGGAATATCTTCGGTTCTAATCAACCATTTTTCACAATCTTGGGCATTCTGGAAAGCTCTCTACGAGCTGCGTGTACCGTGATTGAGCTCAAACAGGACACTACTGAGATCACATATCCAGCACAAGGGAACTTCAAATACACCCCATCGCTGGATATAAGAGGACATACTCTCCTCGCCAGCCATTTCTCGCTCCTTCATCGTAAACATTTCAAATTGTTTGCTTGAGTTTCATTTTATGCTGCCCGCGCGCTCAAAGCATGCCAAAGTGACTCAGCATGTCAGGAGAGGGAAAATTCCCCACTCAAGGTCAGTCACACGGAAAGAAATTTGACTTCAGCGGTGGCTGAAATGTCGAGCGTAATATCTTTGGAATGCGACATCGCAGCTCTTCACCGATTGCTGAAATGGAAAGCAGAGCTCTTCGGCTTCTTCCTAGACTGGTTTTTAATTCCGTCAAGAATCGACCAAGTTACGAATGTTTTAGTGTATACATGTCCTTCGACCTCTACAGATCGATTCAAGTACGCACGGATGGTAAAGGGTTAAACAATGAGGCCATGATTGCTAACACGAGATTAGCACAGATCATAACTGATCTTCCTGTTGTTTGTACTGTTCCCGGACACTCTTCTTGTTCTGTTGCACAGCGATATCAGTGATAACCAGCTGGATCAACTCCCAGTAGAGCTACTCAGGGATGTTAAGGACTTAAACGTTTTGTAAGTCAGAAGACTGATGATCTATGCACTTTCTCTCTTCTGACCGTGTGTGAAGTCTTCTGATTATATATGCCAGAAGAATATTGAAACACAAGCATGCATACCATATGTCTCGGAATTAGGGGTGAAACAATTATACCGAATACTCGAGTACTCGCTCGGTTTTTTCAAAAATAATCGTACTCGGAATAGATCAGAGTACTCGTTCATACATGGTACATGCATTTACCACAGAAATCTGCAGTTTCAGAGCAGCAATCGCCAGATATTGATGTGCAGACTGTGTGGTGAACATTTGTTCACGACTACAGAGAGCCCACATGACCCACCAAACAATATAACCGAGAAAAATGACTGTCATTCGCTTCAATCAGGGTTGTATCATGTGATTTTAAGGCCGTTGGTGTGCAATTTTTAAGAGATGAAGAATAGTCGAATACTCGAATATTCGATCAGAAAGAATCAGAGTATTCAAACTCGGGATCTCAGTGCCAATTTTCACCCCTACTCGGAATATAAGCCACATATCTTTACACAAAAACTAAGGTCGCACAAGGGGTGCGACGAACAGTTGATGCCACTAGTTCCTCAATTGAAAAACACTGTTCATACAACAAACTCGGACATGAGAATTGAGGTGCGACTTTAAAATTATTGTGGAGAAATATGGTGTGCATTCTCTTTTTGTACAATTTTTGTTTCAGTAGAGCAAAATCTCTATGCAATAATGATCCCTACATCATTGATCAGTTCTGTATGGGGGCTCAAAGCTCGCTCTGTCATGAACAAAAGAGAAAAAATAACGTTTTTATCCAATTCTTAGTCAACCAATGGGAATAAATGAAGTGCAATGAACATTTGATTACTCGAATGTACTGGGTCTAACTTAGCGCCAAAATATTTGACAAGAAATTATACAAATATATGCGTAGATATAGCTACAAGAAGGACTAATTGTACTGTGAGCATTTCTCTATTATGTGTATGTATGTATGTGTAAAATGTGTAAAAAAAAAAAAAATGTATAAAATGTTGTATGATGATCGCAAGGCACACAATGAAAGAGAGGATTTGTTCCGAACAGTTTTCTTGTTACATTCATCAGTGAATTCATCGGTGAATTCATCAGTGAATATATGTAACAATGGGAGGGGGACTACCGTAAAGTCGCGGATAAAAGCCGAGTTTGCATACATGCACATCGCGGATAGAAGCCTGAAAATCAAACGGGTCAAAATGCATATAAGCCTGCCGCGCGTAGAAGCCTGGCTTCTATGCAAGCGCGGATCAGGTAGGTCAAGAGTGCATGCGCTATGTACGGTGCATAGTAAAACTGCTGCCATACCGGTAGTCAGTGGTAGATCTACGCGTGCCGATGTGCATACAGGCCTGGCAAAAATATCAGTGGTGCATATAAGCATGGTTTGCATACAAGCCTGGCTTGCATTAAAGCCTGATGCAGAAAGCGGCTTATATGCTTATAAGCCAGGCTTTTATCTGCGACTTTACGGTATGTGAAACTAATTTTATATGGACTCGGATGGAGAACCAAGGATGAATTTATAGAAGTGTTGAGTACGAAAAGGACGACGACATATTCTCCAGGCATTACGGACAACGGGAACAGGTTAGGTCGACCAACATTTATTAGGGAGACGGAGAAACAGAGACCAAGATGAACGAAACGACAACATTGTGGAAGAGAGAGACAAGAGAGAGAGAGAGAGAGAGAGAGAGAGAGAGAGAGAGAGAGAGAGAGAGAGAGAGAGAGAGAGAGAGAGAGAGAGAGAGAGAGAGAGAGAGAGAGAGAGAGAGACAGACAGAGAGAGAGAGAGAAGAGAGAGAGAGAGAGAGAGAGAGAGAGAGAGAGAGAGAGAGAGAGAGAGAGAGAGAGAGAGAGAGAGAGAGAGAGAGAGAGAGAGAGAGAGAGAGAGAGAGAGAGAGAGAGAGAGAGAGAGAGAGAGAGAGAGAGAGGGAGGGAGGGAGGGAGGGAGGGAGGGAGGGAGGGAGGGAGGGGAGGGAGGGAGGGAGGGAGGGAGGGAGGGAGGGAGGGAGGGAGGGAGGGAGGGAGGGAGGGAGGGAGGGAGGGAGGGAGGGAGGGAGGGAGGGAGGGAGAGAGAGAGAGAGAGTGAGTGAGAGAGAGAGAGAGAGAGAGAGAGAGAGAGAGAGAGAAAGAGAGAGAGAGCAAGCGTCAGATAAAGGGCCTGGGTAGCTATGGCAAATATGGGCGCGCAAGTAGCTACCCAGGCCAAAGGAACAAAAGGTGACAAAAGGAGACAAAATGTGAGTACGACGTAGTATGGGGTGCATGCAGACCAGCTTGGAAAAGGTTGTACGGGAGAGAGGTACCTAACAGAAGAAAAAAAGGAACTACTAATTATGCTATACTGTCCACTAACACCACCAGTTACTTAAATCAATCAGCTCATGCGATAGCATTGCACGACACTGACCGACGGAACTGACGTTCTACAACTAACTGGCTAACAGCTCTAGCACATCTTGGATGCGCACTCCAACAACCTTCCAACGTGGAAGGTTCTAAGTTATAGAGATAACATAAGGAGGTGAAGGTGAGCGCAACCAAGATAAGCACGAACTGAAAGTCTCAGCTGTGAAGGGCGTTGGCGGACGTTCATGCATGTCGATGACGATACTGGAAAAACCATTGGACAACATGGTCAAACCACAATTCCAGGACGCAAAGCAACATTCCACACAACTTTTGTGGCTCAAAACATGCCGGTCAGTGTCGTGCAATGTTATCACATGAGCTGATTGTTTAGTAACTGGTGGTGTTAGTGGACAGTACAGCGTAACTTGTAGTTCCTTGCTCCTTTTTTTCTTTTTCCAGTGTTACCAAGTGGCCTCTACCCCCGTGCGTATTGGCCAGTGCCAATTTGCAGAATTTTTCAGCGGTTTCCGTACTCGTTTTTCAGGTCAACATTTTGACTGATTACTTCAACTGTAAACGCTACGCACGAATTCAGTACAATTTTCAACTTCACTAGGTCATAACTTTGTTCTACTTCGCTTGATTTTCACAATCTAGAGCTCGTTGGAAAGCTCTAGGCAGGAGCAACGCCAGGATGCCAAGCACCATTATGAAGCCGCCACAAATCAGTCGTGGTAATACAGCAAAGTCGTCTCCAAACCTAATATGCAAGCAAATCGTCCCATCAACACCATTCAACTCTCCTTCATCGCAGAACGCTCAAAATTGTTCGAGACGATTCAATCCTCAGCCGGCTACATCATTATAAAGTGCTCAATTGCTCAAAGGGCACGCAAAAAGGATCCCCCCAAAAAAAATGGCGAAGAGTTCGCTGAAAAATTTGATTTTGCCAAGGTAAGAATACCTGAATACGGCGCGCGATATCTCTGGAGTCCGACGTCGCTTCAGCGATTGTTGCATAGGGCGGCTTGGAGTTTTTGCTACCGCGTAGACCCTTCGATTGTTGACTTTGCACAAGAAACGATGGAGTTATGATGGTTTTAAGTAATCGATCATATTCATGATCGTTTGCGGGATATTCGATTGAAATCCGTACTGCGGACAAAACTTCGTTTTTCCGTAAAAATACGGACAAATACGGGCGGTTGGCAACACTGTTTTTCTATATATTGATCTTGTATGGACATAAAAGTGTAAGGAAGAGAAAAGGAGCGAAACAAAAAGGTGATTATACTACATCTATTCAGCGGGGGGCAATTTCAGCAGGTAACAACATGCATGTGTGAATTATCTGCATCAGCAAAACAAAGCAAACCTGAACAGACGGAATCCTCTCTTTCCTTTCGTTGTGTGCCTTGCGATCATCGTATAACATTTTACACAATACATGTCGACATATAGGAAATGCGTACAGTATAGTTAGTTGTTCTTGTAGCTATTCCAAACTTCGGCCTCCGAAACGCTTGTGTAGATGGCGAAAATTATATATTTCAGCAATGCTATGAAGGCAAACTCCGTAATCTCAGCTGCGCTAGCTGGGTCAGAAGGCGAAGCTGTTGGCGGACTGCCGGTCGTTTGACCCTTTATGTCAGACAGTTAAGGGTGGCTTGCGTCTATTTCTAGACTCGTCTTCTGCGCAGGCTCTCCCACATCCTACGTTTGAGAAAGTGCATGTAGAGTGAGCGTATGGAGCTTGTAGCGAACTCCAGTTTCGAAGGGTCGAGCTCACGCATATGCGAAACTGTTTGATACAATTAGTACGGGTCAGTTTCAACTTTCCCTGCCACGAATACAGGGTATTTCTTGTGAGGTAACATGACGAGTTTAGAAATAGGCACGAGCCACTTTAACTGAATATGAGCCTCAATCAGCGAAAACGACCCTTAGACGTTTCGTGTCGATTTGTGACGTTCAACGATTTTTTGATCGCGCTGCAAACAGCGCGACGAGTTCTTCTTGAACTCCTTGCTTGAATTTATTTGAAGTTAGTTAGTTGAAGTGGTGGCGAGTGGCGAATCGAGTGTTCCTTGATCTTGTTGCAATGGCTGCGGACGCCAGAGCTGTTCGCAGAGCACACGCGGCAGTCATTGTGTACAGCTAGCTCGAGCCTGGTGGGGAGTGGATGCTGAAGTAGCCGCTGAAGTTCAGAGTGAGGATGAGACGTTCTTTGGTTCCGACATCGATGTCGACAGTGAGGCGGAATCGCAGCCGTCATCTCCTGCTGCGTTGCGGCTCAAGGTGGTCGACGACTCGTCAGAGTCGGAAGATGAGGAGTCATCACCTGAGATAAATTCTGAGTCTGGGGCTAGTGACGGCAGCGACGTCGTGTCGTCAGCTGCGGAGAAAGAAATGGAAGACATTGCGGAACGACTCCACGCAGGATGCAGCTGCAAATAGGTCGATCATGTCTCCGCACTCTTCAGCTATTCTTTGTCATTCTAGCTGCTTACTGCACTATTTCAAAGGTATTCAAGCTGCCTACCCACCTAAGAATGCTGAATATTTATTGAAAACATAAATCGTATACATACATTGCACCAATTTGGAGTACACCTTGTATATTGGTGTATACACCCGTTTTGAATCGGAATATTGAACTTTTTCTTGGCTGAGGTCCTTCAGTAGATGTGTTTCAACAAATTTCTAACCAAAAAGGAGTTTTGAAAAATTTGACCCTAAGGGCTGTTTTCGCTGGTTGAGGCCCATATAATTAAAAACAAAATGAGCAATCTGGTGCCACTGTGGATTGATTTTAGATAATACAACTGCATGTAACTTACAAATAATCTACGTGGAGATAAAAGTTTAATAATAGCAATGAAAAGTATGAATGCCGCAGACATCACCACGCAACATGACAATTTGTTCAAGGTTTGGTTTTGTGTGTTTCCAAAATCGATTTTCACGTTGCGATCATCAGTGGAAATACGCAACTAAAGAGATCAAGGGAAAAACAAAGGTTAAAAATCCAAAGAAGTGTGACACATGACGGGTAACTTGTGGTAAGTATTACAAAAAGTGAGAACTAAAATTTTCGATTTTGGAAACACACAAAACCAAACCTTGAACAAATTGTCATGTTGCGTGGTGATGTCTGCGGCATTCATACTTTTCATTGCTAGCATGTAACTTAAGTTCATTTAAAACTTATGTCTTATTATGAATTACGCAAGAGAGATTGGAAGCTTTGTCACAGCTCTGAGTTTCACGTATTACTACGATCAGCAGGCAACCATATCATGGATTATGAATATTCCTAGATGGTGAGCCAATCTAATTATGGTAAAAAGGAGAAGGACAAAATGTCACGAGTTATGACAAACTGTTTTGTGCCATTTTGTCGCACTCGCTGACTGTATAAGATCTGGTTACGTTGGTGGACAGCTGGTCATAACTGATAACATTTTGTCCTTCTCCTATTTACTATGAGATTTCCAATGTTCTTTTGTGATACAGCAATGCCTCGCGAAATCTAATCACCCAGTTGCCAGCAGAAATGTTTCAAAGCAACCGTGTCCTCAAACATATGTAAGTGGCTTGGCAGATAGGTTATTGCAGGGCCTATGTCAGTGGTAAGCTGGCTAGAGTCATAGTCGTAACCATTTTTACCAATTGCAGTAAGACCTGGTTAAAGCAACCACCCCATGGTGCACCCAAAAGTGGTTGTTAAAGCCAGGTGGTCTCTAGAACCAGGTCTGATACATTCGCCGCACATAGGATCCCCCCTGTGCGCATATTGACAGGTGTCGAGCATAGACTACTTCCGTGCAGGCAAAGCACCCATGTGTCTCACACCTTACTCAAGTGCATGGATGGCACCCTGCAGTACTGTCGCTTGTCACATCTGTAGATTGCATGCACTTGCTTCTGAGCGCACTTCAGCCCTGTTGCAGTCCAGCCTGCCAACCAGGATAGCACTTTTGGCTAGTTTTGATCGGTGTAAGCAGGTCAGATATGACACCTGGTACACTAAAGGTCATCGCTGGTCTCGAAAGGCAGGTGATCATTGTATCCAGTGCAGTTTCTGTGTAGAACTGTTCATGCATGGATAAACGGGCGTTGCAAGCAGGTGGTCGCCAAAACCAGAGGTCGCTTATAAAGGAAGAATACGTACTAATTGGCCACACTGTTCACTCCCCACTAAAGTCTACCTTTTAGTAACTCAATAAAAAGAAATACTTTGAAGTATGTGTGCCGTCCTGTCCACCTACACGCCCAAAAAACGTAGCAAGGTTTGTATTCAGAGAGTTTTCTTGTGACATTCCTCAGTTCTTAAAAACCATTCTTCTTTTTTTCTTGAGGACGTTTGTGCAACCTGTGTATTTGTTGTCAGCAGATTGTGTAGCGAAAACAATCAGATACACATAAGATTCATGGAGCTAGAAATGTTCCCTGACGTGATATTGGCGTTGGCCCGGGGGCAAATGATTTGGCCATGTAGCCGACCTAGGGCCGGACCACCCCTCACAAACTGGCTGCAGGCAGTGCAGGTGTTGGCTCGGCAGGTAACAATGAGCAATATTTCATATGTAAGCCACCCTGCTCAACAAAGTTGCATGTTTCACAGGACACTACCTAGCTGGAGCACGTCTTTTTAACATTTTGCCACCAAGCCAATGTGTGGTGGCTTGTTTACCAGTCTTTGAAAATGGCTCACGGCATCTGATGTGTCATTGGACGTGAAAGGAAACCTTAACATAATAGGAGCTGTTTTCTCTGAACTCGCTTATCAAACAGTACATTCCCGTTCACTTGTTCACGAGCCGCTGCTTTTGTACATTATATTACGGTAGCTTGAATGGCAGCTGTGTAGCTGTGCAAGCAACCACCGCAAAGCTGTGTATAAAAGCCGTGGCCTATATTTTCTCCAATCGCTCTCAGGCTTCTATAAGGAGACGAGCTTCTATACTATAATATTATATATTCGGAAAGGTAATGTGTGCATTGTAGTACCGGTATTCTGTCTGGTCAGATACCAATATCAACAATATCACTGGCATCACTGCTATTTCCGCACACTGGGGCTTGTCTACACATTTCCTACACATTAGAGAGGTTAAGATGCACATTATTTCCAAAGTGACGCGCAATTTCACGTCAAATTTGGCGTAAAACTCCTAATTTCGACGTGAACCGCAGGTCACTCGCGTTTTGTTTTGACGCGCGAGCCAAATAGGACGAGCTGAACTTTCGTGTCACGTCGGAAATAACGTGCATCTTAACCTCTCTAATACTTCTGCTGATTGCTGATCAACTTCACCAGTTTTCTTTCACGTGCGGCATATACATGCGACACCGGCTGCAGTGTCGCCTGTGCAATCTACTGATGCAGGTCAGTAGGAGTGGGCGTAGTGTCGAATTTTGAAGCCGCAGCTGCTATACACAGCCGGCTTGTAGTCCAGTGCAGCTTTTACACAGGACTTTGCAGTGTTTAATTACTGTACAAGCAGAAATATTCGTCTGGAATTTAATTTCGTCTTTTTCGTCCAAGGAGCTTTGAGACTAAATTAAATGACGGACGAATGTCGATTTGTCCAGCGTTTCAATACACTGTTATGGTCCATGGACTAAATTTTCAACCGGACGAAATCCCTTTCTTTGGAGTTGGACGAAATTATTGACCGACGAAATTTTCTGCCTCTACAGTACTGTGTGTAGTTCATCACCTTCAAACGTTTCGGGACGTTTAGGGTCACTAACTTGGTTTACTTACTTGTGTTGGTGGCTGACAAAGATGTCGGACCTTTATCGAGTGTTTGTTGTGCTAGGAGCGAGGGATGAGTGAGAACTGAGGGCAAGCGCCTCAGTCAGAAGTCGAGAATGCCACTACATTGCTGGGTTTTTTCCCTAAAACAAGTGGCTTGTTGTATCTGTTTCATGCAGAGCGCTAGCCCACAACTTGTTGAAGCAATTGCCTCTTGCGATTTTCCGCTACAATACCGAACTTCAGACGATGTAAGTACACTAAATTAGCTCTACATCCATCGCATTTCTTTCACATTTCACATTAATGAACCCTCTGAAAGCTGTTGGTTATTCTCGTGTAATCAAATTATGATGTATTGCATTGCCTTCACCATTGTTGTTGCTTTGGGCCAATCTCTCTCCAAGACTGACTTACTTGTAATATCCATGGTCCAATTCAGCATACACACAGCACCATGACGATTAACACAACGATACATGTTTGTTTATTCGTTACAGTGGCGTACCCAGGGGGGGGGGGGGGAGGGGGGAGGGGGGGGGGGTGCTTTGGGTGCTGAAGCACCCCCCTCAAAATGTTCGACATACATGTACATGTAGGTCAACTTGATGTACCCATGCCGCTAAAAGTACCATAACTTTGCAAGCGATTGTCCGATTCACACAAATGACGGCCCATTGGAAAGGTCTTGAGTGAGGCTCAGGGCTGCCACTTGCTCCAATTTTTCGGAAATCGTCCGATTTTGATCGCTTGTCCGACAAACCGACCGATTTAGTTCCCAAAGAGGGACAACCGATTATTTATTTTGAGCGCTTTTTAGTCCAGTTGGTCATTAATTCCGCGCTTCCAGGTCGCGATTGGCCAGTCTGCATAATTGACATGGTTGTAGTTTGTGTGCCCCGGGTATTAATTGCCATCTCCAGTGCTTGGTAGGACGCTGAGTTACGTCCTTCGCGAACAACATGGCCCAGCCAGAGCAGCCGACGTCTGCGACAGGTAGTGCTGACTGGGCCTTGTCGCGTTGAGGCGTACACCTTGGCATTCGACATGTCAAGCGCCCACGTGGCCGACCCCATCTCAGATGGATTGACAATATTAAAAGTGATCTAAAGCACGCCAATATTGATATTTCTGACTGTTTTGAACTGGCTCTAGACAAGAAAGAATGGCTGATGCTTGTGGAAAATGTGCTGCGCTTGCGTAGTTGTCCTTACTGCGATACGTTCTAACAATAATGAGATGCCTTTTGTCGGCTCTTCTGCCTGGATTTCGTTGACAGATGCGTTAAGCCCATGGATCCTTCCATGAGTGACATGCGAACTGTAACTATTATTATTATTATTAGTTTGTGTGCTGGACAGTTAAAAATGTGTGTCTAGGGCCCCAACAGCAAGCCATTTTCCTAAAAAAAATCATCGCAGGGGCCCTGCTCCTGAACCCCCGCCGGGGGACGCCCCCGGACCCCGCCAGATATTTATCCCTCCAAGTGTGGCAGCCCTGGAGGCTATACATTGAGATGTGATTGAATTTGATATTTAGTAAACTTCATTGTGAAATGGGCATGTTCATAAATCAGACTTTTGAACCCCATTTTTCGTGGCACAATTATCACATTTTTCTAACGGATGTTTTGCTTTCCACTCGCTGCATGTCGTCACTAGATGATCATAGCTCACCATGTTACGTGGCAGGCCCGTGAGAGGGTTATCCATATTGTCAGGGGCCTCGACTTATTCTATTCCGATTTTCCGGGAACACTCTGATCAGTTGTTCCGACAAACCGACTGAAAACGATTGTTCACTAAAGTGTACTAATCTGTTGTTTCGAGCCCTTGAAATCCTAAAAATGCTATGACTTCTAAAGGGGTAGCTGCCCCCTTGCCTTCCTGACATTGAACACCTCAGGCACTGCTTCTGATTTCTACCAACAGAAAAGTGGCAGCCCTCTGCTACTGTCCTGTTTGTGAAGCTACCACCATCCATTGCACTTGCTTCCTCTATTACCTGATACCATTTCTCCATACCAGAATGACTCCTGCCAGAAGTTGTTATGGTACTTTTGCCTTCTCGCCCCCTTCAATGTGTGAAGTGTTGTAAGTTGTTCTAGTACTTCAAAGTACATTAGTCAAATTGAAAATGGTTTCGTGATAATTATGTAGCTTACATTTTTGTCCTCCGAATGGACGGGTATATTTGGGATTGGGTACTTCAAGGCCTCATGGTTGCTCCATCCTACAGAAAAGTTCCTACATTTACCCTGGACTTGGTAAATCATGGTAAATGCTTGAATTACGGTTAAATGGCGCAATAAAAATAAACATCAAGATATCAACCATCCATGTATCAAACGCACAGAAATAATGCATTATCCGGGTCTTTGGGGAAATGTTGGAGCACCCCCTCATTCCGGATCCTGCGTACGCCCCTGCGTTACTTTCAGTTGAATTCGTCTAGAGGCTAAACAAGCCAAGGCAATCAGTTTTGCTCTCACCAGAGGAAACCTCGAGTGATGTCTGCGTATAGGCTATTCAGAACTTAGATGGCGAGCCAAGGAAATAATTGTGAATTCCTCTTTGGAATTGGCACTAATATCCATGAACCTTCCAAGTTGGAAGGCCGTTGGTGGGCGCTATCGAGCAGTGCTCAAGCTGACTTTCATGCCGTGGAATGTCTTAGTACTCCCTGTCAGTTTTGTGCTAGATTGTGCACGTCTGACTGTTCAAAATCTGGTTTAGTTGGTGGACTCGATCGCATAACTTGTGCCCACAATTTCCCATGTTACAATTCTTTATACGACGTAGAGGCAGACGTCGTTTTCATGCAGGTGCATTCACACAGGCACGTACACGCTTTTCGCACAGCTGTGGGCACAGCTTCTTTTGGATACAAACTACCGGGAATGACAGAACGAATCTCGGCACAGGGGCCTGGATGCGTTGTCTACGTTTCCGTATCAGGCAAAAGTTTTCCTGCCACGCTCAATGCTGTCACGTTTTGGGCGTAGTGTGAATGACCCATTAAGAGTTATAGTCTGCTAATCCTGCTCGATATTTATTCTTCACCCCATGCACTCTTCAATGTGACTGATTGTTTTCCCTATTCAGAAAGTTGTACGGAAATGATTTCACGAAGGATAGTCACTTATGTTCGCTGGAAAAGTTTGCATCTCGAATTGTGAAGCTGGAAGTCAAAATCAAAAAGTACTTGCAACGTAAGTTTGATTGATCGTTGAAATGCATTTATGTGTGTGTGTGTGTGTGTGTGTGTGTGTGTGTGTGTGTGTGTGTGTGCGTGTGTGTGTGCGTGTGTGTGTGTGTGTGTGTGTGTGTGTGTGTGTGTGTGTGTGTGCGTGCGTGTGGATGTGTGTGTGTGTGTATTTCTGCGTGTGTCTTGCTCTTGAGTAGGACAGTTGAGCTCTTCATTGTCTTATCTTCTTTACTGTTGTATAGGTTGGCTTTGCCCATCGGGACGACTCTGGGCCATCCAGAGTTCTCCATGCACAAGGAAAAATAGTTTGATATGCCGGTGCCAGAGTAAAATGCGACATGCTTTCTCCTCCATGTCGGGCTTAACGAGAAGGAGGGTCTAGTCAAGTTTGGTGTTGTTGCCATACTGCTGGCCCTGAATTTGGATATCACCCCATCACCTGCGCAGGAAAACTAACTGGCCTGCCGAACCATAATCATCTGCGTACGAAATCTGCTGTACTGAGGTGCGCGCAACCTTAAGGGTCGTTACCAGATGGAGAGTCACAAGTGCATGAAACACCATGGAAAAGGATCACCATGTGTCGTCCCCTAATCCGAAGAAATTTCACCGCCACCAGAATCAAACAGTCTAGCAGGTTAATTGTAAGAATTTGTTAAAAATGTTCGCAAGGGCCGGACACAAGTACTGAATGTTATGTAGCGCGGCCTGCCTATTCAAACAATTGAAAGTTTTGCGCTCATCAACTAAAATAATCACATAGGTGCATTGATCATTGTAAAGCCTCTGCATAGCATGTACAGCCACCTCAATGCTCGCAGGAAGACCCGAGCATTTCTGAATGAAACCGCATGCTTCCTGAACTCCGGGGCTTTTAGCTCTCAAAGATGCCTTTGTGACACTGCGGTACAACAGCTCACCTACTCCAGCTGGCTAGAAGCCCGGCCTCTTGTCGAGGGCCACACGGCAGCAAGCCAGGAATGGGGGAAGACCAGATGAATTTTAACGTTTCACTTTGACGAAGTCACCAACCTCGACATCCATAGCCATTCTGGTAGCCTTGCCATGCTGGAATGTAAACTGCTGCAATGTTGGAGTAGCGTTCTTGCACTGCAGCGTTCGTCTGTGTGACCAGGGCATGCGGTTGCACTTTGGCAGAGCCGCTCGGTCTCCGCTTCTCCTTGGAGCAGTAACATCGATCAGAGCGCGATTTCGATGCTTGATGGTTCCTATCATGTTAATTTTGTTCTTGACAGCACTTGAAGCTATGACAGGTGCTACCGTGCACTGCATTCCACAGGCAAAATGAGCCTGCGTACAATTGTTCAGCTTTTAGTATTGAAAGAGTTCATGTAGGGGCATGGAAAATTATGAAAATGTCAAAGAAGGTGCTTCGAGCAAACTTTGATTTCCTACATCGCGTTCGCTAGTTACAAGTCGAAATTCGACATTGGGAAAAGAAAAGGTGGTCGCTGGTCGCGTTCAACAGGTAGTCATTTTTTGCAGTGCATCCTGAATGTGAGACCGTCCGTGCTTGGGTACCAGTCTGGTCACTAGTCACGGTGGTCTTTAGTTACAGGTTTTACTGTAGTACCAGTCTGGTCGCTAGTCACGGTGGTCTTTAGTTACAGGTTTTACTGTAGTACCAGTCTGGTCACTAGTCACAGTGGTCTTTAGTTACAGGTTTTACTCTACTGTCCATTGATAAAAGGATGGACTTCTAGCTTTTGGCCATAAATGGGTCAAACTTTGAATTTTTTCAGAATATTTTCTGCTTTCCCCTATGGAATCCTCTTCCAATTATGTTTCTGAAGTCTTTTTCTCCAAAAATCAAGCCCTAACAAGAATAGGATTTCGGCCAGGTTTTGTTCCAAAAGCACTGAATTGGGAACATGATCAAAATCCAGGCCGTTGGACCCTGCCTGCAACAGTGCACTCTGCGGTTCGAACCCCAGTTCGGGTACGCTTTTTGGACCTTTTTCTAATTTCAAATTGTGCAGCACTGCACTGTATACGATAAAATCGAGAAAAATCGCTAAAATAGGGGAGCTTGCCAGAGCCAGGGCCCATTTTTTTACTGTATGAATGGACTGTAGTTAACTCCAAGCAGCACGAGGCTGCACATGTATGCAGAGTGATTGAACTGACTTTACAAATTGTTGATTGCCGTTTTCTGAAACAGTGATTGACGGGAAATGCGACACTGATTGTCGTCACGCACCACGCAGTCTCAGAATTTGTGCACTCTGCACGGGCACTGTAGCTGAACACACTTGCCAAGGTAAGCTAGATGATGGTAATGCTAACAAACACTTTGCTCAGATACCGGTGGAATTTCTCTGGGTGAAATTCAGGCCACGGTTCAAAACTGGTGCAATGGACAGTTCCAGTGTGATAATTGTATTTGTACCTGGGTCTGACATGCCCATGTGTATTATAATTATTATACATGTGTATGATGTGTACACGTGCACATGTGTACATATGTACATGTGCACGTGTGCACGTTCAGCGGCATTCCCACTGCGCTCCAGGGCGTCACGTGCCATGCATATCCAGCTACAGACTAGACACACCACTGTGACAGAAGAAGGTTTCCTTAGATTTCAAATTCAGAAATATATAAGGGGTCCCCATATCTTTTTTGTCAGCTTCAGCCACTTTTCCACCCCTAGCTGTTATGGACATCGATGGATGTTTACACATCTTCTACTACTTCAGCATATCTTTCAAATCTCAGGCCACATTGCGTTGACACTTTTAGTAACACGACCCAACTCAGTCGCTTTTGTAAAGAAAGTAGGAAAATGTCCGTGGGACCAAGCATGCGAAAACCGCAAAGGCAAAGCTGTTTTTTTTCAAAAAGGAGAAAAAATGTTATTTAAAATGGCAATCAAGAGTACTAAGCTGTGCGATAACCATGCTTTATTACAATAGTAACATGCGATAGCAATGTGAATGTGAAATTTACATGTAAAAAGAAGAAGAAGTGTTCAGAACTGTTTTCTCATTACGATCTTCAGTGAATGTACGTGACTATGGTTGGAATACTAAATCAAACACTTTTATAAGGAGCAGAAAGAGGTGCAAAATGATATAGAGAGCAAAGCAACTAGAAGAGCACTAAAATGAGAAAGGATGTGAGAGACCAGACCACGCCACCACTATCCTTATTCATGGCTCACACATGACGGGTTTACGTGCCTCAAGTAAAAAAAATATATATTATATTGAATCCCTTTCTTTCTCTACACAATTTCTTCACATTTTTCATCGTTTTATTGCACATTGTCTCCACAGTTTTACAATACATGAATACAGTGTACACAAATGTCGATCCAGCTTGTATTACTGATTGCGGTTATCAAAAATAAAAATAAAAAAATAAAAAAAGATGCACAAATGCTGCACAGTAGTGAGCGAACATCACATCAGACCCGGACAACAATGGCCGGACAACAATGGCCGGACAGCAATGGCCGGACAACAATGGCCGGACAACAATGGCCGGACAACAATGGCCGGACAACAATGGCCGGACAACAATGGCCGGACAACAATGGCCGGACAACAATGGCCGGCCGGACAACAATGGCCGGCCGGACAACAATGGCCGGCCGGACAACAATGGCCGGACAACAATGGCCGGACAACAATGGCCGGACAACAATGGCCGGACAACAATGGCCGGACAACAATGGCCGGACAACAATGCAATTACGCTGAGTACTGTCGTGGACATGGAAATCCGGTCGCACATCTAGCGGCCCCAGGGCGCGGGCCATGCAGCCGTAGTGCAGTCTTTGACCTAGCTGCAAGAGGAAGTGCTAGTTTTTAGTTTTTGGTGGTGCTTGAACTAGTTCGAACTGCTTCCCTTCGACTTTCTTTGACAGAGCGGGTGCTGTTAGGGTTTCCTGTTGTCAGTTTGTATCCACCACCGGCCTTGTATGTCAGTGCTTGTACAAGGAGGTGTTCAGTAGTTATTTTCAGTCCGCGCCATGGGTCGCATCCAGGGTAGGAAAAAGTCGCACTCTGACCGGCTTGATTATCCCGAGTCGAGAAAGAAGCAAACTAGTGGCCAGTTCGGCTCAGTATCATGGCCAGCTGGACGTAGATCAGATCGCCCCGAGGTCGAACAAGCCGACAGTAGTCCTGAAATCCTTACCTCGCAGAACATTGACGATGTGGAGCGCGGTGTTCAAGAACAAGGAACCATGGTAATAATTGGATTCGCTCCAGAAAATTATTCTCGTGGTTCCCGGTTCCTTTCCCATTATTTCCTATGGTCTGGATACGTGCATCACGCTGAAGCCTATATGAATCAGATTGTAAGTCAGTCTTCTCTCTAGCTCAAGATTTTGCGAACATGTTATCAGTGAACAATAAAAGCAAAGGACACAGTGCAACAAATGGAAAATCCACGTCTCCTTCTTTTCCTTGCCGTGCGCACTGCACTGTCACAGTCTGCACTTCTGACTGGAAGGTGTCTTCCGTTTGTGAAAGAACCAGCGCAAATCGCGCTTGGCGCGGCGTCCTTCAAAACGACACAAGTGAGCTCCACATGAGCCGATTTTGACAATCGATGGCTCAAAATTTTCAGTAGGAGATGCTCCATACTTTGACCGAAGCGAATTTCGCCAAAACGATCCTAGAGGTGGGACACGTTTACCGAGTTTGAGGGTGTTATTTGAGGTCTAAATTGCGAAAATCAAAAAATCCTTCAGTGAATCCCTTTGCCCACATCTGAACTCGGTACCTGCAAAATCTCAGCCTGCTAGAGAGAACTGTGGCTCACTTGCGTGGATTTGAACAGGCCAGAGTCGACGCGAAGTACGGCAAGATTCCCTGTACACAGCATGGTGTGACACATGTCACGTGAACCAAAATGGCGCCCACGTGTTTCTGTACAAGTACTAGCCCTGAAGTTACTATAATTATGAGTTATGACACTTTCTTTTTGAACACACAGATCGGGCTTGTACGGGTGAATGTAAATGGCCTCTAACCCTTTCAATTGCGAATGACTAGCATGGCACAGTACAGAAAGCGAAGAATCTGAATATGACTGACAACGATCAGGGTGTGTTAGGAGATGCCTGTAGAAGCATGGTCACCGCAGAGTTAGTACTCTTGATTGCCATATTAGAGTTGCTGTCTCAGAAAGTTATTTATCACATAATTGCCAAATTCAAGGATCAGTCGGGAAAGTGAACTGCGTGAAAAGAGAAAAAATCGCCACACCCACCAGGACTCAAAACCGGCACCTTGCTTGTCATGAGCAATGTTGATGTTCTCCCAATCCTTTTTTCAAAATTCATCTCATCGTTCTCCGCCGAGACTGTGCCAAAACTTAAAGGATATTTTACAACTACCATAGCCATGCCCTTGTTGCTGGTAGTGAAACAAATAGGTTTTGGTTATTGCCCTCTCCCCTGGCCCTCCGCCACACAGCAACGCAAACTCTTCTTTGTGTGTCTAAATTCTTATATTAACAACAAACGACGAGGGCACAGGAGGAGAAAGACAAAAGACTAGACCGAGGCAAAACGACGACGAGAAAGACACCAATACACAACAAAAACAAGCAGTACTAAAGAGGCGACGAATCGGGACGACCAATCAGGGGCCAATACGTAAAGAACACATGACCAAGACCAAGACAACTAGACCACGGACGAATCACAAATCACTCTCACTCCCAGTCCAAACTAGCACTGCACATGTACAGCATTCACTTGACAGTCACTCTCACACAAAACGGAAGCAGATTCTCACACTCCGACAATGCGTACTCTTGCATGCACCACATACCATAACCGTCACACATCACACCATACTCGCACGTACACTCAGACCATATAATTATGACATCAGACACTGGACTCTACGAGACAAGAACCAAAATACAAGAACATGCATAAATCATACTCCCAATACAATTTCGCAACAGTAGGTTGTTTGCTCTTTTTATTTCCATAATTTGTTTTCTGTCTACATGTAGGTAATATTTTTCTTATCGATTGTTCTAAAAGCAGTTTGTTTCTTGTGCACTGTTTCAGCTGGCGATTGTGCCAAGAATAACACTTATTTCTCATGCAATGACAAAGAACTAACTCAATTTCCGATCAACGTGGCAGACACAACCACTTTCTTGTAAGTCATCTGCATCTCTATAGTTCAGGTATATCTATAGAGCTGAAAGCACAGACTGCGCTTGCACTACCTGTCCAATTTATTTTCCGGCGAGATTTCTAATCAGAAAGTGGTGGACATCACACAACTGCATTGCAAATAAAAGGGGGTTTGTCAACTGACGACCGCTCTATTTGGGGAGCGTTTGGTTGGTACGACCTAGAACAGGATTCACCAGAACAGCGCAGCCGACCCAGAACTGCACCTGTTCTGGGTCGGCCAGAGCATGTTCTGCTTGCTCCGGCCTCGAGGCCGGAGCAGACCGAGCAGATTCACTTTTTCACAGTGAAACCTGGCGGGAACATCGATTTTGGTCGCGAATGATCACGTGCATACGCTTTGGGGTTGGACTCGTCGTACCTTACACAGGGACCATGGTGACCCGTACACATTTTGAAGAATGCACCAAGTTTGGAATATTTTTCACAAAAGAGTGCTCTGTTTCTGGAGTACCGTTTGGTTGACATGAGGCTGCTCCATGTGCACCAGCTGTTCGATCCTGTTCTAGATCGTACCAAACGCACCCTCAGTTGCATTTTACTCTTTAGATGAAAATTCTTTTATTAATGATGTTGAAAAATAATCGACGTTTCGGGCCAGTCACCCATCATCAGAACAATGTACAAGGAGCGAACCTGGCCTTTTATAACGAAATGAAGGGAGAGTGTCTGTAAAAAATACACAATAGCCGTATGCTATTGAGTGTCTAAATTTGCATGTACAATCGACAAGGAGAAATGCGCTGAAAGAGTGGATATGCAACAGCTCAGCAGATAAAGCGCAGGAAATGTGTGTACGAAGGTGTATACCACATTCATTGTGTGTACAACTCTGTACAGACACAGCAAGATTTAGCAGGTTCACTGTGAGGGTGCTAGCGCCTTCAATGGCCATCCGAAGGAGATATTGATCTCCGGACGATGCTCTCGAATCTCGATGGACTCCCTAATTTTCCTTCTGTTCATCTGTGTCTCCACGGCCAGTACTTGGGCCTCAATGGAAATCACATCTGTGCTCTTGATGGTTCCGTGCTGCTGGTGATCAGTAGCCATGTGTTTACCCCACGGTTTGTCGAGCATCCTGTGACATGCTTCATAGTGGTGTTCCTCGAACCGGTCTCTCAAGACCCTGAGGGTCTCAGCGACATACCGCTTCCGACACAGTGCACACTTCATCATTCTTTCTGATGCGGAAACTTTTGGCATGATCACAACGTATCCATCGGTACAGTTTGGAAGTGATTGTTTAGACAAGAGCTTCGTGAAATTGTTGTGTGTTGCACAAAGCCTCATTAACGGCATGTCCCTATGTCGTCACGGGTTTGAGAACCGTGAACGAACTGCCTCTAGGCTCCTCGCCACGCCACACAACAAAGGACTAGCACAAATCGTTTGAGAGCTTTTTCTTCTACTTCGCTTCAGTAGGCGATGGAGAACTCATGGTTATCAGACAACTAACACTGACAACGAACGACGGACGACTGACACTGAGACAAGACTAGACAACAGAATATATTAGATTGAAGGCGTACAACGGGGACAAGACGAGCAAGTGTGTACCAACGGGGACAGAAGACAGTGCAGCCGCATGTACGCAGGAGTCAAAAACAGCGCAGCAGCATGTACAACAAAGAGACACAAAAGCAGCCACATGTACGACAAAGAGCTACACGTGCAACCGCATGTACAACGAAGAGACACAAGTGCAGCCACATGTACAACACTATCCCCCATCAAAAATAGACATCCACTCCTGTGGATGGAAGCAATCAAAACAAAATTAGAAGAAAGACAGGAGAAAAAGAAATCAAATGTGAACACAATACAGAGGAGAATAGAAACAAAACATGCAGGGCCAAAACAGTAAGAGACGTAACTCCGGACAAAGGGGAAAAAGCCAAGGCACAAATGTGTGAAAAGAAAACAGACCGGGCCCACCCATAGAGGGGACCGCCATACTTTCAGGCGTGGGCCGCCAGGAAGTAACCACGTTGCCCTGGTACGAAGCCAAGGCAAACCGACGGCACTGCGAAGACCGCGGCAGCTGAACCGGGTGACCAGGCATCTGGAAGCACAGGAGTTGTCCGGAAAACCATCACGCAGCAAACCATCACGCAGCCGATGGGGCTACGAAAGCTCACAGAGACAGAAAGACACACACAGAAAGAAACACGGACTGACGCAAACATCTCAGCCATCGCCGAAAAATCAGAAAAGCACACGAATGAAGGGAAGAACAGCCAGGAAGAACACGTCGACTGAAACAGGAGCAATTAATCAGTGAGGACACCATTGAGGACACACAAACAAATCGGTTACCAATACGCAAAAGATAATGAAGAAAAACCACAGGGCACTACCCTGAAAACCCACAGGTCTCTAACCTGAAAAAAACCACAGGGATTGAACCTGAAAAAACCACAGGGATTGAACCTGAAAAAACCACAGGGATTGAACCTGAAAAAACCACAGGGATTGAACCTGAAAAAACCACAGGGATTGAACCTGAAAAAACCACAGGGATTGAACCTGAAAAACACGGAACTACATCCGTTTCGCAAAACCAAAAAACCGAAGAAAAAAAACTGTCAGGGACCGACTGGGGCGCGCAAGGGCCAACCAGCAACACGCGGAAACCATAACACCCGCAAGGCAAACCGATACAACAAAACACAGGATCCCTGCAGACCACCAGGCAGACCGTGGCTCACCATGATCAGACGCCCACCCAAACGAACTCGAGAGACCCACATGCCGAAACACAATTATTACAAAACCATATGCTCACAAAAAAATGCAACCTGGATCCGAAACGAGAATCCTACACGAAGTTCACACCTCCCACCAAACCGGAAGCCACCAGCTTTCCGACTGGGTGCACAGTGCATGACTGAGCCTGACAACGCTCTGCACAGAACATGGAGAAACTACTAGTACTAGTGTCGCGGTGGAAACACGAAACAAAACAATATGGATCGACTACAAACAAGGCAGCACCTCGAGAACGTTCAGATGGACATCCAAACCAATCACATGACACAGTCACAATATCGGAGCAGTCCGACGGCAACTCCGTGACAAGCACAAGTGCACAACACAAGACGAGATCAAAGCTACCCATGCTGAATGCACGACGAGCAAGCAAAAACAAGTTCCAGATTCGAACGCGTAGCACACGAACAGAAGTTTGAAATTTTCATACACACAACCGTACAGTACAGGGTAGTCGATCGACTAGTCAGAGCGACACAGGAACAACGAACACAACGGGGCGAACTGACAACGAGCAGCTAGACTACACTACACACTCGAGCACAAGAGAACAAGGTTCCACGGACCTCCTGCCGGGACCAGAGTCACCCAACGCAAAACAATTTGAAAAAATTCGAAATCGAATACAAGTTACGGCAACACATTACGCAGAGTAGACAATTACAAAGGCATTCTCACCTGAGTAGGCGCTCTCATGAGAGGCTTGGACGTTCGTGAGACTCAAGTAGCTGGGCCATGGCGAGAACACGAAGAGGAGACGAAAACACAGCTGATATGGAGACGAACTCAGGGTCGTGGATACGATTTGTTGGGCGCCAAATGTCGTCACGGGTTTGAGAACCGTGAACGAACTGCCTCTAGGCTCCTCGCCACGCCACACAACAAAGGACTAGCACAAATCGTTTGAGAGCTTTTTCTTCTACTTCGCTTCAGTAGGCGATGGAGAACTCATGGTTATCAGACAACTAACACTGACAACGGACGACTGACACTGAGACAAGACTAGACAACAGAATATATTAGATTGAAGGCGTACAACGGGGACAAGACGAGCAAGTGTGTACCAACGGGGACAGAAGACGGTGCAGCCGCATGTACGCAGGAGTCAAAAACAGCGCAGCAGCATGTACAACAAAGAGACACAAAAGCAGCCACATGTACAACACCTATAAGCACTGATTCCACTCTTCGTGCTGGATCCACCATCTCCTCAGAACAAACTGGCACTAGGCCACTCATAGCATACGCGAGTAAGAGGGTACAGTGTCCTACCCTGCTTGGACCTAACCTCTCCTCACAGACAGTCTCCTCTTGAATTTAAAAGTCTAACAGCGTTCACGTCAATACTCAACTCTTTATTTTGGTCACTGAGCAACACAATCTTTTCATTTTCTTTCTTCTGTTTTCTTTATCAACTTAACCCTCCCTACCCGATTTCCCTTTGGTGCATCCATGGAGCTATGAAGCCGAGACCTCTGGTTAGCTGAGTTTAATGGGCCCCACCACCACACTCCATTATTCACCCCAGTGTCTGGAGATATGTGGATTTTGAAAAAAAGAAAGAAAGTGTAACTCCACTTTCCAGGATTCCGTGTGTTTCAACCCTTCCACTAACAATTGCATTCATGTTGCATAGACAGATGTACAGATATAATATAATAATATCAGTACGATCAATTATTATCAACTAAAACGAATGTTCTACCCCTCAATTCAATTGCGTGCATTGAATTGAGGGGAAGAAAAAGAGTTTTTTGTTGATTATAAAAAATCAGTTATTGTCCCACTCAGAGCACCATTCACGCGATTCACAAGATGAATTGCAGCAGGATGGAGTCAACATGTATAGCAAATAGTGGTAGTGTCATTTTGAGGAGCTGGAGGGCAGCTAGTTCCGGTAGTACTGCTGAAAGGAATGAAAAATGATGAGAACATGCTTGGAACATGCTCATGCTTTAGAAGCATGTGTGACTGGTCCCTTATCCGAACATTTTTCTCATCCAAGCCCCCTGGAGACAGCCCGCACACCGAGTGGTGCGGCTCAGAATTGGCACGACTCGCAAGCGGAATATCAGGACCATATTCCTCAACATAAGGCCAAGTAAAAAAAAAGATTGTTGATCGTCAGAATTTTCCGAAAAATCGGGGCGGACGGGAGGGTTTTATTTTTATTTTATAACTTTTTTTTATATCTACATCGACCGGACATCTTGAAATCTTAGCATGTATTACATCTATGGGGATATGGGTGTACTACCATTGTTGGTTGTGACTGCTACCAGTCTGCCTGGGCACACGCTGAACATGTGCAGATGACTCTGTGATACGCGGTGGCTGCGCAGTTTCCATGAATGCAGGCGTAGATATCAGGTGGTACACTGTACAGACTACAGTGCCATGTATTGTAGTTGCCAGATTTCACACAACTACACTGGAATCACACTGCACTGCGTGATGTCGCTACGGTAAAAGCACGTTGAAGTTGTACATGAGAGCTCGCATACGCTCGTACTGCTAAAAAAGTTCAGATTTCGCTAAACACACGAGTTTTCTACCGTTGATCACGAAAATAAAAAATAAAATAAATCCCGGGACGGACTGAAAAATCGGGGCGGGCGCTGACGATCAACAATCAATTATTTTACTTGGCCTAACCTTATCAGTTTTTTCTTCTATAAATAACCTTATCAATGAGTATAAATTCAAATTTCATGCAGTAGTCCAAAGAAATGAACAGCTAAATTACAATAAAGAATAAGTGAGACTGAGATTAGATACACCGTGCAAGAGCAAAACAAATCCTCAACTAACAAGGTCTCCTTTTCAGTATTCAGTTGTTCGGCTGAGACCTTCATGCTTGATTCAGAAAAAAAAGGAATCTTTCCCATATCAAAAAAACGAATGCTGCCAGTTGTCTTCTGCGTGACTTCATAGTATGATCCAAGCTTGTGCCAATGGGAAATGGATCAATACCAGCTGGTCAGCCATTGGTTATGGATGGGGGGTTTTCAACGGCCGATCGTAACGAAAGAGGTCATAAACGTATTTTTTTACTATTAAATGACTATGTTCAAGCAGTTGGTTTTGTTCTACGCAACTCCACCGAACCTACCTCCATGGTCGTTGTTTTCCTCGTGGAAGTTAAAACCATGTTCGTGATTGCTCTGGTAGACCAGTGCGTCATGTACTGAACAGTTGATCTGTGAGTGAAATACATTTATTTGTTTCTCTGTTTACTTTTCTGGTTACTTTTTAGTTGGTCATATACTAGAAATACGCTGTCTTTCCAACACACTTTTTCTTACTTTCTGCACTCCAGGAGCGTGAGGACAAACATGATAGAAGAGCTGCAGTCGGAGCAGTTCCGTGCACTCGGGCATTTAGAATACTTGTAAGTGACCCCAGTCAAAGTACAATGGCCTGAAACAGATAGCATACGCTCCCAAGGGCAACTCTGCATCATAATATGAGCCAGCACACGCGAAAATCACCCTTAGTGACATATTTTTAGAAACTGAGATGACAGTGGATAAAGGCAGATGGATTTATGCAGAATTCAATGCAAAAACGTTTGAAAAAATCTTGAGTAAAACTTGAGTTACGGGTCTTAGAAGATAGAGCATTATCCCTGATATATCACACATCACACGAAAACAGAGAATGTTTGAAGTGCGTTTTCTCAGTTTGAAGTATGTGTCACTAAGGTCGATTTTCGCGTGCGCTGGCTCATATAGGGTCTCCGACGGTGAAAACTCACACCACGTGTTATCATTCTTGCTGCATAGAACAAAGGTCGGCCTGCGCTCAATACAAATATCTGTCGTACTCATGTTCAGGACTCGCGTAAGCCGAGTTAGTTTCTGGCGTGAAGAGCTATTTTAGATCTTACTCTACTGCTCTCTAAACGAGCTGGGCTTAAGCGTATAATGTAAGTCACAGTAACTTACTGCTCCGTGTGCAGTGTGTTTTCGACGTCGGCAGACTCGGTAGAAAGGGTGTAAGGAGGTGCACACCCTTGGGAGCTTATGTGTGTTATTAATGACGTGAAGTGCCTCCTGCGAACGTTGTTTATGGACCGTTGCAACTATTCTTCTATATTGTGGATGATTGATGGAGTTTTCAACACTTGCATTGTCGCATAAACACGCTCTTACTATGGACACTTCGGTTCGAATTGTTGCAAAGTTAACCAAGACATACAGTCAACTTTGCGTACAACGAGACTCGATGGGGCATCAGAAAAGTGTCCTTATGAGCGAAGTGTCCCTATACCCGAAGTCTCATTATATGTATCACAGTTTAATGGCACTTTGCTCTGGGCATGGACATTCTGTCTCTATTCGCGAATTGCCGTTATATCCGCAGTCGTTATTAGCAAAGTTGACTTTCCAAGGGTTTAAAATTGATTACAAATATTGCACATGTATTCATACCATGATACCGGAGGTACTACGAAGAGTGTCCATGATCATAGCAGGGGTTTTGTTGCCTCGTGGCATCATGCTAAGTCTTGTAGAAAGGCTCGCTGCTGTCTTCTTTGTGTGTTTCAGAGATCTGTCCGACAATCGGCTGGCCGAATTACCTTTCGCAATTTTTGACTGCCTAACCGAGCTCAGAAGTCTGTAAGTACTTAACACCATTCCTCAACTCTAAGGGTGCGTTCTTAAATCCTCTTGGAAAAGTTGGAGACTCTCCGAAAAGTTCGAGAGCTTTAGGAGGCTCTCCAAAGCTCTCCAAGCTTCAGAGGTGGTTGAAACTTGCAGATTTCCTGCGGTTTGGGATCAGACAATGCAAACTACGGCTAAAAGCCACGTCGTTGATCATGAATGTACGCATTTCCCTTTTCGAATACGCACAGCGCGTACTACATTCGTGGCACTCAAGATTGCGGCCCCTTTGGCGCTTCATATTGCTTCACATGTGCAAAATATCTCCGAATTCTTCGAGACACATTCTTAAATTACATCAGTTTCTTCGACTTCTTTTTTCTCCTTCTCCGAGAAGCTAAAGAATACTAAGAACGCGCCGTAAATACAGGGTGTAAGCCCACCCCACCCTCACTGATAAACACATGGGTTAGTGATAAGAGTTTTTGCAAGACCCAGAATCTACACGACACGATTGAAGTAAATAGCGTAGTCTCAAGAATTCACATACACTGGAAGTCACGTACTTCGAGAAGTAGTACGTACTCGGGTAAGTCGTACACCTGCTTAGTGGGGTCCTTTTTTGTCGCTCTGATTTTCCTTCCACAAATGTGTACAGATAGGACGTACTCTGATAGGCAAGTCCCAATAGAGCTAGCCTCGCATACTACGTACTTTTAGGTGTTTTGCATACACATTTCTTTACACATGACAGCTTCGCTTGGCAGGTAATTCAGTATGTGGACAATGCGGAGAGGGCTGTTTGCCGTGCTGGGCGCCTGGTTTGGTGGCACTAACCACATACATTTCTGAGTGCAATAAATAATTTCAAGCATGTTGACATACTGCACATGTATCGAATCGGTGAGGCCACACGAGTCGACTTTGGATAAGAAATGCCTCGGATACTACGTGCTGTCTTCCATTCCCCGAGGGGTATGATTTATCCGAGTTCCGCTGTAAATACAAACGTGCTTATATACACACGAGAGATTGGAAACTGTGTCGCAACTCTGAGTTTCATGTATCACTACGATCATCAGGCAACTGAATTGAGCACACTTTGAACAGCGAAGCACACCACTTGATTACGGTAAACGTGCTTATACATACGGACAAAGGGTAATGTCAATGCACTTAAATCACTCATGGATCTGACACTTTTCTGGTTATCTTCTATTATGGAATAGGATTCCATAAACATTATGCCCGAGGACATGCTCGAATGTGCCAATCCGTGGGCCCCAGATCCGGACTTGCCAAGTTTGGACATGGTCGAGTATACGAATTCCGATAAAGCGCGCAAACTCACAATAATACCAATTTCTTTCCTTTTGCCGTGGCTCAAATATTCCTGGCCCTGCGTGTGAGTGCTGGCAACCAATTTCTTTTGGCACGTAATTCCTGTTTGCATTGCTAACCCCATCCTTTTTTTAAACCATATGGATCTGAAAGCAACTTGAACTGTTTGATTTGATCCAAAAAATCGAATTGATTGGCTTTGGCAGCGATCTAGATTCAGGTCACAGAATCAAACCCAACCCTAGTGAAAAATGCTGCAAATATGTTATGCCTTTTCATGTTTGAATGTCCAGGTTTCTGTGTCATAATGTGATCAAAATCTTGTCTCCCGTCCTGTTTAAACACAACATCAAGCTCCAAAATCTGTAAGTAAACTGACATGTACTCAGACATACATTTACATGCATACTTGCACGCGCGCACTTACACACATGCACACACGCACACTCTCACACACATACCCACATATATACACACCCACACACACGTACACACACACACCTTCCTTCCTTTCCTTCTTCCACTGCCATAATTGGCTATGTGGCCCCATAAGGGGCAGACTAGGAGACGTGTTGTACACCGGGCGGGGAACAACAGATTCAGCGCGCGCAGGCTACGCGAACAGCGTTACATTTGTGCCTCGCAATATCCTGTGGCCGACGAAAACTGTGCGCACAAGTGCCACAGATGAGGGGCTTTGCCACAGGCTCCATGCGGGACTGGCCAATAGCGTCGACAGTGTCACAGCAGGTGACCCGACATCCCTGTCGATCCTGGGCGATGTCACCAAGCTGCTCCAGAGGAACGCCAGCAGCCATTTTTTCACCGGTTCCCTCGCAAACCCACACTTACATTGGAAACAACCATTTGAGATATCGATCTATTTCGAAAACTGTATTACAAAACATGATCTCCAATCTCCATTGAAGAATCTAACCAAAAAGAACAAAGAACGGAGAGCTGGAGACGCACGTACCCGGCCCCGTACCGGACACACAGCCAAGGAGGATGACACCGTAGCGTCCCCACGCTTGACTTGGCAAAGAACACAGCAAGCAAAGAAAACCAGCCAGCAAGCGAGCGCAGTTCAAACATTTTGAACAACACGCGCAAGCAAACACGTGACAGAAAATAATGCATGATGTCATCAGCTCACGCGCGGACATGCAAAAAGTCAAGAACGAGTGCTGCAAGCAACAGCACAAATAAATAATAATTCAAACAGCGAAGAACTAGAAAGGCAGATTTCTATTATTGAAGAACAAGAATGTATTGTAGAGTTCCAGCGCAACTGCCGGAGGATGCTGGTACCCACCCGAAGGGTGGTTGCTGCCCCTGTCAGAGAGATAGAACGAAAACTGAAGCAGAGGAGTCGCGTTGCAGTGAAACGCACAAGGTATGAATATTCGAGCAGTGTCCAATTATGACATACCGAGTAATACATGTAAAACGAAGACAAACACTAACAAACGGAGAACGTTCCAACAGCCATTCCAGTCCTTCCAGCGCTAAGGCCGTCATCACACTACGTTCACCGACTCCCGTTTACGTCTACGTCTATGGTGAAAAAACCAAAACTGGTGGTCGTGTTATCAGACAGGCACAGTTCTTCACGCGTACACGCAATCAGGTTTGTGGAGAAATTTGAACGCACGTACATCGAAGTACAGGGTCGCTCGGAAAAAGGCTGGAGGAGATACGCACGTTCATACAAAAAGTCATATACCCCCCCCCCCCCTCTCCCTACCACGTCTACGTCTCCCGTTTCCTCTGCTCCCGTTTCCACCCCGTATACGGATCATCATGACAACCGACCAAAAACTCCTAACGTGGACGTAGCTTTGTACCGTGGTGTGATGGCAGCCTTACGGGGTCCATGCGGTGGACATTTGGACGGTAACGCGCCGTACAGCAGCTGACGAGGGATTCGACCTTGCATGCGGGACACGTCGCCAAACCATAGACGTCGGCGGACTCTGACTTTATCCACGACCTCCTCCATATCGCCCCACATCTTGCAATCCTGGAGAGGGGAGATGTGCTCCTCTATCTGCCAACCACGATTTACCTTCAGGATGGAACGCATGCACTGCAGGTGAAAGGACTCCAGGCGACGGAATCCATAAAGAAGGACGGCCAGGACAGTCACTCCATACACAATGCGCTTAAAATGGCGATGCTGGAGTCATCACTGTCGAAAACCCACTCCCGCAGCATACAGAACGCACCCGATGCAGCAGCAACTCGCCGAGACACATCAAACGAGATCCGGGCGTCTGGCATAACATGCCAACTGAGATAGGGAAAGGCCTCAACGTAGTCAACAACACCATCCAAAGGGGTCTGGTCGGCATCCACAATACCAGCTCCAGCCGCCATGAATTTGGTCTTGGGCATATTGACATATTGACACTGCGATTTGCAGATGACATTGATCTGGTGGCTGGCAGCGAGGAAGAACTGCAAGACCTTACTGGCCGGCTGGACAGCACATAAAAATCATACGGCATGGAAATCAGCACTGAGAAGAGTAAGCTGCTGGTAACGGGAGCAAGCAAAGGTCTGTCCGCAAGCATAGCCATCGGCGGGAAGCAGCTCGAGCAGATTGACGAGTTTAAATATCTGGGTAGCACGATTGCTGATGATCAGCGTTCAATCAAAGAAGTGAGGAGTCAGACCGCAGCAGCCTCGGCTGCTGTTGGGTTCGTGTTTCCTATAGACCCATTGCACATCTCATGTGTCCCATGGCTTTTTTCAAACTGTGTGCAGATATCTTGGCTTCAACTTGATCTCATCCTTGCCTGGTGAACTCTTCTCCACCAACCAGCAGCTTCTGACCTTGTGAGTGTCTTTTTCACACGGGTATTGTTTTTCTGTTTAGATATTAGGTTAGGGTCTGTCCAAACGTGTTGTCATTTAATTAGCGCAATTTCGACAAAACATAGACTTTGTGAGTTCCCATTCTGCAAGCAGTACATTTACATTGGTGTCATCGTAGCCTCTCAGGGTCAGTGCCTTTGAAAACCTGTCCAGGTATGCAGATGAGGCAACTGCTGGTACAGAACCGCAGTTCCTTATTTCATATACATGAACGGCGTGCTGGGCCACAGTGTGGCAAGTTGTACTGGCCTGGCTTACTGCTTCAACGCGTACGTGTGTGTTTCTTGTTCTGGTTGTTTTAGGGAAGTACAGGACAACTTCTTGAAGGGATTTCCCAAGCAGCTATTTTTAGGGACACCACGTTTGACTTCAGTGTAAGCACTAAACACATACATTGTTTTCTAGACCAAATTGGACGTGCGTCTCCAAATCTTCAATGCAGTACATGCATCGGCGCAATCCACACCGGTGCAAAAGAACACTAGGAAATTTTAGAACCAAACGTGTTCGTTCCCTTTTCTTCACAGCACGTATGGAGTATTTCGCTCCTGCTCTTGTAGTAGTTGAGCACTCTCGTGCGGGATAGTGCCTTTGCTGTTTGCGTTATGCAAAGCTCACTGACTTGTCAGTTTGAGCACTCTGGCAAGGTACGTTCGGGCCTGGTTTAAATCTGGCTTTGGGAAATGTATTTTTCATCTCTATCAGGTTTGGCCTCATTTTCTCTGTGCTGCGTGGATGAGTCCACAAAGGGCGAAACAGTTCTGTATGCAGATTGAGTACAGACAGCAATTAAAATGCATAAAGTGAGGTGAGTTCACAAGAAGACGGATGATGAGATTCTCGCAATAATGGGTGGGGTAGCAGCCCAGGGCCTCCGAAGAATGGACTTTTTTCGGCAAATCGGTAATTGATCCAGTTCAACTGTTTTCATGTAAACGCTAACCTATTTTTTTCCACCATGCTGACTTTCAACCCGGGCTGAACATTCTCATGTACACACAGCCAGACTGGATCGTTTACATGATGTGTTGTGCTTGACCCTTGTTATAATGTCAACCCTCCCGAGAAATCATACGGTCGTACTTCTCAGATGGACAGCCAAGGATAAATTTATAGAAAAAGAAAAAAGGACCAAGTCAGTCAGTGTGGTGCAATGTTATCGCATGAGCTGATTGTTTAGTAACTGGCGGTGTTAGTGGACAAGCGCAACTACTTCCTTAGTCCGTTTTCTTTTCTAATATTAATAAATTTATCCTAGTTTTGTTCGTATCTCATGCCACGTTTGCACAGCACTCGCTGCACAGGAAAATGTACTTGTAGCGTGAAAGTGGTCACATGACCATGGTCAAGTGACCATGGTCATGTGACCTGGCAGGACTCTACAGTAGGCCCAGGCAGATTCTGCTCCACTCACCGCGATATTTTGCCGCAAAATGTTCCTGCGATATCTTTGATAATTATTTTGCCGAGCCTGGCACAAGAATCTCGATATTTTGCTCCATTTTGTTGCGGAAAAACGTGTATTTTATCCAATTCCCGTACAATTCCGTACGTTTCATAAAAATCGCCGGGTCGTTTTCTCAACACGGGTTTCCACGCACGTGTCCCTGAGTTCTTCCAAAATCTTGTCGATCCACAGTGAATCCTAGTGATATTTCGATGACATGATCTCGTCCGGGGCAGTATATCATGCTAAACGGGTAAGAAACAAGGAAATCCAAGCATTAGGCATAGATTTTACCCAACATCTCGATAATTTGCTCCGATTTTGCCAGCAATTTCCGCTCTTTCAATTCTTCGATATTTTGCCTAAAGAATTTCCGGCAGAATCTGCCTGGGCCTACTCTACAGTCAGTTTCAACAGATCAGCAATCCTGGCGATCGCCCGGAGAGTTTGCCGTCTTGCCATGTGAGCTTCCTCGAAAAACTCACCTTGAACTCAAAGAAATGTTCAGTACAAAAGCATGAAAAATGACAACTTACTCACGTCGGTACATGTGCGTCTGGTTTACAATAAACGAGTTCTTCCTCGTATCGATATGGAGTCAGAGAGGACATTTCGAAAGTGTGGTAAATGTTGAGGAGCGGCATGGGTCCCAATTTGTTTTGCGACCAAATACTTCAAGTAGTTTTTTTGAGCTGCGATGCAATTTACTCTCACCATGTGACGAAAATGACATGAACACAGACTCATTCCCAAGGCCATGCCTTGACAAAGCTATCTGTGTGATTTCGACGACATTTTGAGAAGAGCAGACACCTGTGAAAGCTGATAGAAGATGGCGTTGACTCCTAAATTCTAATAAATTGGCGATCTTGAAATACTAAAATAATTCTCAAAAAGAAATCGATCGGTCGATGTGCTGGTGTATTCAACACGTAGCTACAGCGCAATGACGTCTATTCACTCGCACCGTTTCAGTGTTGTGGGTGTGTTCACATGGCGTGAGCCAGTCAAGTGTTGGTCAATTTGGCAGGAAGCGCGAGCTCCCAACCAGTCGTTTGGCGAAGCCACCTTCTTTGTCTTGTACCGGCACATCGAAGTGAAAAAAGTTTTACTTGAAGACACTACTTCGAAGTAGGTTAGGATTTGAACTCACAACTTCATGGTCAGCAGACAGCATTCATAGCCACAAGCCCAAAGAGGAAAGAATAAATCGTGGGTTTTGATAAAATATCGATACTCGCTTCCAGGGGAAATTGTAAACCATGGGAAAAGGCCAGAAACCTGGCCGAAATTCTAACTCATTATTGGCTGGTCCTGGTGGTTCCGAAACCTTCACAGAACACTTCGCCGTGCCCTAACAAGCCCTTCTCAGATGATGTACTTTGTTGTCCAAATTTCCCTTATCTTCATACTTTTTTTCAGACCAAAACCTGATGTCCTCCGCTTTGTAGCATGCTGTCATTTCGTTTTGCTCCATGCAAGAGGCCTCGGCTATCGGAGGGAAAGGAACTACAGCCAGCTCACGCATGTGGACCAAAGTTGGGTACTACGTATCTAGTATTGACTGAGTATGAGGTCAATATAGGACATAAAAGCCGGGTAAAAGACCGAGGCGAAGCCAAGGTCATTCCCAGTTTATGATTGCACAACCGTTGCATCATCACCTACTCATACGACCACTTATCAATCTCTTAGTATTGACTCCCATTGATGTTCACTATACCTAAGCAGTCAAATATTCCTGCATATTTTACTCCTTAGGGCTATATTGACTGCTTTTATTTGACTGCTTAGGGGTTGAGCAGTTGAACGGTGCCTAGTGCAGCATGGTCACTGTACAGGTTGCATGAGCAGCATGCAATATCCCATACATAGTCGCATGAGTAGGTGAAGGTGCAACGGTTGTAGGGGTGAAACAATTATACCGAATACTCGAGTACTCGCTCGGTTTTTTCAAAAATAATCATACTCGGAATAAATCAGAGTACTCGTTCATACATGGTACATGCATTTACCACAGAAATCTGCAGTTTCAGAGCAGCAGTGGGCAGATATCGACGTGCAGACTGTGTGGTGAACATTGGTTCACGAGTAGAGAGAGCCCAAATGACCCACCAACCAATATACCTGAGAAAAATGACTTACACTCGGTTCAATCAGGGTTGTATCATGTAATTTTAAGGCCCTTGGTGTACAATTTTTAGGAGATGAAGAATACTCGAATACTCGAATATTCGATCGGAGAAAATCAGAGTACTCGAACTCGGGATCTCAGTGCCAACTTTCACCCCTAAACGGTTGTGCAATCATAAACTGGGATTCATGAGGTTATCGCTCCGGAATTTGAAATACGGAGTGTTTATCCTGATAAATATAATATTGACTGAGTACGAGGTCAATATAGGAAATAAAAGCCGAGTAACAGACCGAGGCGAAGCCAAGGTCTTTTACGAGGTTTTATTTCCTATACTGACCAAGTACGAAGTCAATATTAGATACGAACGGGCTACTGCATGCTGCTCGTGCAATCCGGGAAAGTAGAGTGACCTTGCACTAGGCACCGTTCAACTGCGGAACTTATAAGCAGTCAAATATAAGCAGTCAATATAGCCCTGAGGAGTGCAATATGCAGGAATATTTGACTGCTTAGGTATAGCAATAATCAATGGGAGTCAACACTGTTGAGAACGAAAAAGGAAGACGACATATTCTCCAGACATTACGGACAACGGGAACAGGCTACGTCGAACAACATTAATTAGGGAGATGAGGAGACAGAGACCAAGATGAACGAAACGACTACATTGTGGAAGAGAGAGACAAAAGAGAGAGAGATCAAGTGAGAAAGGCAAGATAAAGGGCCTGGGTAGCTATGGCAATTATGGGCGCGACAAGTAGAGACCCAGGCCAACGGAACAAAAGAAGACACAAGGTGAGTAGGAGATTGCATGCAGGCTAGCTTGGATAAGGTTGTAGAACGTACGGGGGGAGGTACCTAACAATACTAAGAGAGTGATAATTGCTGATATTAGAGATCCTTAGCAAAAGTACGATAACGCTAACTTTTACGGTACTCACTCCCAGCCATGACAAAAGACGTTATCGGGCAACGGAAAAACGTTACAGAGCTCAAAATAACGGGCAGACGTGCGTTATGGTAATTCTGCAAAAAAAATGCAAAACTCACATTGTTTTGTAACTGGCGGGAGATAAAAAGCACGTGCCGATCGACGGAGTCGAGATTGCTTCGACTTGTGAATTTTAGATCTTTTTGGCGAGTTTTGCCTTTCAGTTGACAATGTTGGCGTCCTCTGCTTCATGTCTTTCACCCTCTATCCCATCTGGGCAACAAAGGACCAGTTCCGCTGCACTCCTGAGGAAGAAATTCATCAGCCTCTCCTAGACTTGATGGAGCTGGAGAACCCTTACAGTCTTCGGTGCTGCATTTAGGAAAGGTTTTCCAAGGACCTGGGCACAGCGAAAACTCATTTTCGTCGTACCTTTGCCATTCCAGAGCGGAAGACCTCGCCAAAGTATTCGTTCGGAACGACAGCAAACTAAACCCTGGTTCAAAATTTTGAATTTCCCGCACTTGTTTCCACGAAAATTCATATCGCCATGGTTGTCACGACTACTTTGTCTGAACTATAGCGTACATTGTGCTAAGGGAAAAGTCAGCCTGAACGATCCGAAGTACGGAAAGGTTTGCGTTTACGTTAGCGTTTATTTAGCTAAGGATATCTAATATTTGTTCAAATCACGCTTGATATTAGTTCGTCTCCCGGAAACTTTGCCGTACATGAGTTCGTCATAAACGATTAATTTTGACTTGATACGATGCCTGGCCAACCATAGGATTGGCCCTACAGTCAATTTAATTGGAAACTGGCACCCTAAACTTTTGGTGTCTCCCACACATAGTTGTAGATATCTTGAAGACAACAGTACATCCTGCATTGGGTGACCGGTGCAATTACTCTTTGCGACATTTGAGGCCTGAAAAGTCCAATAACAGGGAAATAGTAATTAGGACAGGTATGCCATGGCAAACTGTATGGAGAAGCAGATCCCAAACCCAGATTTTGAGATAAAAAGTGGGTTTTGATCCTCAATTCGTGACCCAAATCCGACTTTTAAAAGCCAGCGGCACGTCCCTATTTCTGATGAATGGACTGTAGTTTGTACCGATGGAAAGTTCGCCTTATCAGTGTTCATCCTAACGAGGTTTAACTGTAGTAAGAAAGAACATGTACAGATTAATCTATAGGTGTTGGACCCTATAAACAGAGATTTTTGTCATTGTGTTGGCTTTTTTGGAAAAATCCCGCCAATCATGGATTGACTGTGCTGGATAGTTTGAGCACTGCTAACCTCTCAAGGAAGACCAGGTTCAAGTACGTCAGTTTGCCGCAATGTGGTCTTTCACTCGCGGGGCCGAAGCTGGTGGAAACGATGCCACCAGTGACCACCAGCTAGCTGGCAGACATGTTGCTAGAACCTAACTGAGCGTGGAGGCCAGCAAGCTCTCGGCAAGGAAAGAATGATTCGTGTGGCGAAAGTCTTTTCGTGCAATTGCGAGCTACATTTGCATAGCACTGGCGTATAGCTAAAGCTATGACTTAAACTACTTACGTTGCTTCTTGATTTTCACTCCTGCTTCAAGACATTCATGTATGTACTAGCCCGGGCTGCTGTTTTTATCGTGCCTAGCCAGAGCCTCATTAGTCATGATTTATCATCGATGCCCACGAAAGACTACAGCAAACAATAGTAGGGGTATTTGAAAATACTAGCCTAGTAAAATGAATAAAACCTATGGAACGTATCGCTTTGAATTTCTGCGCTCACAGCCTTTCCTACTTCGTGAAGTGAGCCCTATAATTTATTATGTTGAATTCCTGGCACTTCACAGAAGTATGTTCCTTTTGCGTATTCTGCACGCATATGTTCTCCTCATTGGCCTCCCTTTTTTCCTCGTTTCTTTTGTTCATTTGGCTTATGCGAAGACTAGCCATGGCGCATGTCGTCCTTTTTCGTTCGTGATGTCAACGAGGACAAGCGTATAATAATAATAATAATGAAGCGCTGCAACCTGTGTCTGGCCGAGAAGCTGGAGATTGCCTGGGCCGACAAGACCCGCTCCCTCAACAAGAGGTCAGAGCTTGTGTCCAAGTGTCGTCATGAAAACAAGTTCTACCTCTGTAACTTTGCGCGCAAGGTCAAGTGAATCTAGCTGGTAGTCCCGCTGCCAAGTGTGTGTGTGTGTGTGTGTGAGTGTGAGCGCGCATGTGTGTGTGTGTGTGTGTGTGTGTGTGTTTGTGTGCATTCGTGAGAAAGAGAGTGCGTGTGGGCGATTGGATAAGTGCGGGTGCAAGTATGTGTGCGGTAGGTGTGAGAATGAAAGGATGAGTATTGTGGCCGTGTGTGTGTGTGTGAGAGAGAGAGAGAGAGAGAGAGAGAGAGAGAGAGAGAGAGAGAGAGAGAGAGAGAGAGAGAGAGAGAGAGAGAGAGAGAGAGAGAGAGAGAGAGAGAGAGACAGACAGACAGAATGTTTGTGTGAGATTTGGAGAATGTGTGTGTGTGTATGTAAGATTTAGAGAATGTGTGTGTGAGATTTGGAGAATGCGTGTGTGTGAGATATAGAGAATGAATGTGTGTGTGTGTGTGTGTGTGTGTGTGTGAGAGAGAGAGAGATTTAGAGAATGTGTGTGCGGATGCGCGTATGAGTGTATGTGTATGTGAGAAAAGGGAGAGAGTGTGGGTGTATGTTTGTGTAGTGGTGTGGGCATGTGTGGATTTGGCATTTAAAAGTCCCCAGCTCTATTCTATATCATTCAGACCTACTGCTGCATAGCCCCAAGTCTGAAGACTTGGCAACTTCACGCCTGCACCTGACTCTTGCGCTATGATACGCGTCGCCTATGACACCCCTCGGAATTTCCCACCTTTCTCCCCCTTATGTTCTGGCTGCCCGTTTTGGATCCATCAGTTGCCTGATGATCGTAGAGATACGTGAAACTCGGAGTTGTGACAAAGCTTCCAAACTCTCTCTCTTGTGTAATAATAATGATAATAATAATAATAATACACAGAGGCAATGAATGTGGCTCGATATTCGGACTTCAATGATGGAGCATTAGCAGCGCCAAAGAGAAAATCCAACCTGCCCACCTTCTATGTGCTCTGTTTTCCTAGCTCTTGCTCTCTAGCTCTGCAACTATTAACAAAAACATTGTATTTGTCACCGCATTCACACCCAACCAGCCAAACACGTCATTAAAATGCATGCAGTGAACATAGTCCTAGGACCGGAAGTGTCATGTTTTATCCAGTCGTGGTGTGGTGTTTGTAGTACCGGGGATCCGACTGCCTATGGATGCCAAGGGACACGCCATCCGACTGTTTACAGGATTTAGACTACAAACTGGACTCCCGACTGAATATAGTGACCCGACTGCCTACTGAGTCCAACATAGGAGCTGGTTCAAAGGATCATGATCAGAGCACTTTGATCTGACTTACGATATTCATGTCCGTGAGATGACCAACACCCTCAGAGATTTCAGTGTTAGTGCATCTCTCAAAGGACCATACGCCACGGTGATATCAAGACCGCAAATACTGTTTCTTGTGTGTCATTCCCCTCTGCTTCCTTGCATCCAGGAATCTCATAAACGATCGTTTAGAGGTGTTTGATCTATGTACCCTTTCTCATATTTCCAATATTGAACTAGTTGGCCTGCATGATTTGGATCGTAAGTGAACTTGTGCGTTTTGGTAGGGAAGGTACTTCGTATTTTAACTACTACTATTTTATATGCTGGTCACGAACGGGTGTACACGAAAAAGGGAGACAAAGTCAGGGCTCACAGCATCACGCAAAAGCGTGGGCGCCATTTTGGACAGGCCGCTGGCACACGAGCCAGCCAGCATGCCAGAATCGTGTCCATGCGGTCAGGCAGATATCTCTGAAAACTTGAAAGTGGGGTGCATTCAAAATGTTCATTTGTACCAATGCTTTTGCCTAGGCCTCTGAAACTCTAGGAACATACTCTCAATACCCATTGTGAGGATTTGTCCGAGAGTTTTTTGTTTTAATCGATACGGTTTGGCGTACATATGGAGCCAAAGTATCAGTTGGTGCAGGCGTAATTCTGATTTGGATTATTGTACTAAAATTTAAAAGTCTCTCAGAGAAGTTCTTCTAATTTTCCTACTGAAAATTTTAAGCTATTGGCCATCAAAATCGGGCCAGAGACGGGTACAAACGAACATTTCACAGGCAACACCGTAGCGCTTTCAAACGCGTACACGTGGATGACTCTGGCAGTGATCGTGAGATCTCGAGCGAGGAAGACGAAAGTTTTCAGACTGTTGGGCGCCCTCCAGTCAAGCCCCAGAAAACATCGTTCGACCCAATCGCTGATGAATCGTGGAAACTAGTATCCAAAGAACCCCACCAAACAAGGAAGGCAGTCGTGTATGTGGAAAATCTGCACGCGGATTGCACAGAGGAACGAGTGACAGAGTTCACTCAGCAGCGATCTGTGGCCGTGGCCAAATCCGTCAAAGTCCATGAGTGCAGCATGCACACCACGGAAGACGGGAAAGTCTCAGCCCGATTGACACTCGACGCCACTGGATTAGAAACAGTCACTGCTGCGAAATTCTGGCCACGACCGCTTTACGCTCGAGCCTGGCGACACCGCAAACGGCCGCAGGGTGACAGCTCATCTGGTGCAGCTGGCGCCGGCAACGTGGGCAGCAGAGGCGATAGGGACAGTGAGGAAGAGGCTGCCTCAGCTGGAGCGATTCAGTCACACAAACACCAATGAACACCAGCTGCGCAAGGACATACCCAGTAATGAAGCTCCTGCTGACAAATGCTTTTGGGCTGCTGTCAAAGTTTGGAGCCTTCCAGCATGCTGTTGCACGGAGCAGATCTGACATCGCTATTGTAACAGAGACTAAACTCACCCCGGAGAAAGCCTCACTATCTGACTCCTCCATGCCGGGCTTCCACCCACCCCTCCGACTTGACCGATCTGCTCAAGGTGGCGGAGTTGCAGTCTGGGTCCGGGACTCCCTCTCCTTTGACCACCTGAGTGACATCAACTGCCATGGCCATGAGGTCATCTGGCTTCGCCTGCACCTGGACAATGGCCAGAAAGTAGTTGTATGTGCAGTGTACCGACCCGGGTCGTGCCCTGGACAAGATGTCTCTCTGCTTGAGTATCTTGACTCAGTCATGGATCAAGCTCAATCCCTCGGGAACAGCGTCGTGATAGCCGGGGATTTAAATGTTCATAATGAAAGCTGGCTATGCAGCACGAAGACTACACCGGCTGGTGAATACATGGAAGAACTCCCTGCGTTCCACGGGCTCCACCAGCACGTTACTCAACCGACACGTGGTGAGAACACCCTGGACCTCATACTCAGCGACTTCTCGGAGACCTCAGTGGTCGTAAATGTACTGGACCCCATTGGAGCATCAGACCATGCCACCGTTGTGGCCACTTTTGATGCCACCCCACTCCGCGAACCACCGACTAAACGGCGCGTTTGGAGGTATGCTCAGGCAGACTGGGGCCGGCTTCGGCACTTCTACTCAACAGCAAACTGGAATATATCAGAAGACCCCGAGGCGTCGTGCAGATCAGTAACCGCTGTTGTCATGGAAGGCGTGAATCGCTTCATTCCACACAAAGAACTTTCGACGAAACCAACAGATCCATCCTGGTGGACGCCGGAATGCTCAGCCGCTACCCAGGCAAAGAAGAATGCATGGAACCGTCTCAGGAGACACCCTACATGCCACCAGCAACTCATTGACTGCAATGCCAAAGTCCGAGCCTCTGCCAATTGCCTTCGTCTCGCAAAGCAGGCAGAACCTGCCCGCATCCGAGATCGGCTCAAACATGGATCACTGCGAAACAAGCAATGGTGGTCACTCCTGAAGCAAGCTGCAGGCTCTGGCCGCAGCTCGTCTATCCCTGTCCTACGCAATGCCCAGGGTAGAGAATATGTCACCAACCAGGAAAGGCTACTTGCTTTGGAGAATTCTTTGCGAGCAAATGCAGTCTGGGTGATCAAGATCTACAGCACTCCGACCTTCCTGACCTTCATCCTAGGTGTACATCTGCCCTGACAACTGTCCGATTTCGGGAAGCGACAGTCCAGCGCCAGCTCCGCCAGCTGGATCCAACCAAGGCTACCGGACCCGATGGCATCCCTGCCAGAGTTCTGAAGCAGTGCTCAAAAGTTTTGGCTGCACCACTTGCCAAGCTGTTCTCACTCTGTTTTCGGTGTCATGTCCAGCCCTCTCTCTGGAAAGTAGCCCGTGTGGTCCCGATACACAAGAAGTAATCTCATTCTGCTGTTAAGAACTACCGACCTGTGTCCTTGTTATCTGTTGTCTCCAAAGTCATGGAGAAGATTGTCAACACTGCCATAATCAATCATCTTGAGCATGAAAAGGCTCTGTCCATCCACCAGTACGGATTCCGGCAGGGGCTCAGCACATCTGACCTTCTCACGTCTCTCAACCACTCCTGGGTCTCCGAAGTCAACCGTGGTGGCGCAGTCCGCGTGCTGGCTGTCGATATAGCAGGAGCATTCGACAAAGTTTCACACCGAGGCGTGCTCCACAAGGCTGCGTCATATGGCATCACTGGTCCCCTCCTCAACTGGCTGTCTGACTACCTGTATGACAGGAAGTTGCAGGCAGTAGTCGGCGGAGCATCTTCAGAACCATACCAGATTGATGCTGGGGTCCCACAAGGGAGCATCCTTGGGCCCACACTGTTTTTGCTGTACGTGAATGACGCCTGCGACGTCCTACCGGAAGGGATCACTCCGGCTGTTTACGCAGATGACACCACGCTTTATGCCCACATCCCAACGCCACATGCTGTGACAGAAGTGTGCCGCAACCTCCAAGCTGGTGTGGATGCACTTGCTGAATGGGGTGCTCAGTGGCGCGTCACTTTTTGAGCCAACGAAATCACAGGCCATGACTGTGTCCCGCCACCGCAGACCCTGGGAGACACCACCCATCAAGTTCAACGGCACGGCGGTCCCAGAATGCTCGCGGCTGAAGCTCCTTGGAGTGACGTTTGATGCCCATCTAACATACTCGGAGCATCTTCGAGGAACTGCAGTGCGTGCCACACAGCGAATTGGTTTCTTCCGGAAGGCGTGCCATGTCCTGGACCCACCGGGCCGGGCCACAGCATACCGGGGGTTCATTCGGCCTCTAATGGAGTACTGTCCACTTGTATGGATGGGAGCTGCGGCTACCCATCTCTCACAGCTGGACCGAGTCCAGCATCGTGCCCTCACCCTGATTGGGACAGGGGCTGCAATGGACACTCTGTCCCTGCGGCGCCGTGTGGCCGGCCTCACAACTCTGTACAAGCTCCATTACATCGCAAGCCCGCCAGCTCTTGCAGCGACACGCCCAGCCAGAGCCATCGCACCTGCCACACGTCGCCGCTCGGCAGCCAACCTTGCGCACGAGCTTCAACTCCAGACAGCCCTACCTGCCAGATCGTGCAATGTTGCGCTGCGCTCTTCCCCGGAGTGCCTCATCGAAGCCTGGAATGAACTGCCAGCCACTCTCCTCCGCGATGCACCGTCTGCCAAAGGGATGCAGCAGTTCAAGGTTCAGACCTACCGCTACCTGAAACGGTCGGGTTGGTCATTGGCCACGGACATCGCCCCCTAGGCTACTGCCAGTACGACCCTGTTCATGTTCTCGGAGCACTCCCTTCTCAACAAACTCCCAATCCATCTGTCTTTATCTCTCTCTAACTCTCCTCTAATCCTTCGTCAAATCTGCACGGCAATCAGCCTCTACTTTCGCCTCAGCATCATGATCTTGATACTGCTATGTTTGTACTTGTTTGCGTACTTGTTTGCACTCATATCTTTGAATAACAAGTTTCCTGGTTTCCTACCCCCCCCCCCCCTCCTCTCTTTCCTACCCTTAGAGTTCTTGCTCTCCTGCTCCCCTCCCCGCCCTTCCACTCCCCATTTTGTTTCCTTTGGTGCACATGTGCAGCTGTGATGCCGAGACCCTTGGTCGGCTGAGCTTCACAGGTCCCACCCACTCCGTCCTGCTGGATATGTACCATTGTGTCGAGTTCTTCTCCTTATTTTAGTTCATCATGCAGTGAGTGTTCAATAGTAAAAAAAAAAAAAAAAAAAAAAAAACCCCTATCTGCAGTGCATGCAGCCGCGAGGAAGAACCGAGCCGCGCTGCACTTGTGAATGCGGAAACAACACTAGCAGCAAAGCAATTTTTTGAAATGTTTTTGCTACTCGCCTGGCGCTTCATCGCTGTGTCCTCCAGGAGTTATCATGGTTATGGCAGACCGAAGAAATACATGGCCAGCACAACGGCGAAGCCATTGGACTTGTTCTCTTGCAACGAAACGGAGAGGCGAATCAAATAATTCACAACTCCACATCGTCACCGCTGCGCTACACGGCTCTTCGCAGACCAGCCGTATATTTACGTTTACACAACAGGACTTCACGGCGGAGAAACTAAAACTAGAACACGACGTTCTCAGTCGCGAGTGCTGTTTGAAGACCCGGTTGTTTCATGGCTGAAACGATGGGAGGATGCAGACCACGTCGCTGGTTGTGGACGAATGCAATCTCGTTCTGTGTGTCGATGCACCAGACGAAGATTTGTGTGACGCACAGCTTTGGTGCTGGCAGACGCAGTTTTATCTGCGAATGTTCT